ACGACCCAGAGGAAGAGATAAGAACATTGGCACTAGGGAGTGCAAAAATAAGTAATTTACAAAAATCAGATAAAGAGGTAGAAGAACTTAGAAGAGCAGTAGAAAATCCGGATGACACGAATATCCCAATAGCGACAAGAAGAAGAGCAAAAAATTTTAAGATAATAAACAACACTTTATACAAAATAGGCAATACAAACAAAGGATTGGGAAACTTACTAGTGATCCCAAAAATTCTAATAGGAGAAATACTGTGGGAGATGCACGCGGCTCCAACATCAGGACATCTAGGATTAACAAAAACAATCGAGAAATGTAGCAAAAGGTATTACTGGGTAGGGATGTTAAAAGATATAGAAAAGTATATTAAGGGATGCATTGACTGCCAAGCAAGCAAGGGACAACCCTATAGGAAAGTTCCAGGGCCGTTGCAACCAATAAAGGTTGGATGCGTAATGGACAAAGTAGGGATAGACCTTCTTGGGCCCTTCAGGAGAAGCAACAATGGCAAAACTATGATAATAGTTGCTACGGATTATGCATCACGGTATGCAATCACAGCGGCGCTGCCAAATGGAAAAGCAGGCCCCGTAGCGAAGTTCATATTGGAGAAAATTATTTTGATACACGGAGCCCCTAGGACATTACTAAGTGATAGAGGGAAGGTTTTCCAATCAGAAATGGTGAAGGAACTCGCTCGGATCATGGGAATAAGAAATCAATTTACTACGGCATACCACCCACAGTGTAACGGCTTAACTAAACGTCTAAACAAAACAATGGCCGACATGCTAGCGGTATATTGCAATACAGAGCAAACGGATTGGTGTAGCTACGTACCATTTGTCACATTTGCTTATAACACAGCGATCCAAGACAGCACAAAGCTAAGCCCATTTATGGTGACCTTCGCCAGGGAACCGACTTTACCATCGGAGGCAATGCTGCTGGATAGTGACGCGGAAACAGATATGCTACAACTTAGAGAAAGGGCGCTAGCTATAAGGAATACAGCAGCGGAAAATATACATAAAAGACAAAGCAAAGACAAAGTTAGATTTGATAGCAACCACAGAGAACTAGAATTTGATATAGGAGACAAAGTTAAGATTTTTATCCCAGTTAGAAAAATAGGCCGAAGTGAAAAACTATTATTAAGATGGTTTGGACCGTATAAAATTTTAAGAAGATTAGGTGATGTAGATTACGAAGTAGAAAAAATTGGAGGGAAGAAAAAAGACACTGTTCATGTAAGTAGGATACTACCCTTTTACGACCCGTGGACCGCAGAGTCCCCAATTTTGAACGAGCTACTAGAAGAATCAGAGGAATCTCACACAAGTGACGTCGAAAACAAGGAACACGAATAATAGTCATTAATTTGTACAAAATAGCAGCGCGAATAGAGTCCGGACTCACTCCCTTAGACACTTATACCAGTAGTATTTAGTACATAGGTTATAAGAATTAATTTAAAGCAAATTAGTCTAGCAGCATAGAACATAATAATTCTTCAAATTAGCTAAGTATAAAAAATCATGATATGGCGACGGCTGAGGAGGAACCGTTGACGAACGTGAAATCTGAAGCCTGAGTCGCAAACACGAAGATAATAATCTGTAATATAAAAGTATAATTCTAGTTATTTTATAATAAGTTAAGGGAATCTGGAGAAATAATAGAATAATATAGATATAAAAAGCTTAAATATTAATAATAAATTACCACGGGCCTGTGGATAGAAAGATGCTAATATTAAATTGTGAAAAATATGGTTTTCGTACTTTAAAACAAAAAGGGAATGGATTTAGACGAGAGTGCATATACCATATTTTATTATTATTTTAGTTTAGAGTGTAGGAAAATAAACGAAAACCATTATTATTAAGGAGTTACCAAAAGTGAAATAAATCACAAATAATCAAAAATATATGTATATTAAGGATCTTCTTAATCTTATAACATACGTGACAAATACAATATGTCGGGCAAGGGTCTGTATGTCTAGAACATGATGTCCAGGAGGACAAGGAGGAGGCCACACGTCCACGGAGGAAACCCTAATCCAGGCAAATTCAAACCTAAGTCCCTGAAAGATACACAGGAGGAATATCAAGACATAAAGGGGAAAAATATAGTAAAACCTACCTTGCATTCGGGAACCCTGCGATGCAGTAGCCGCAAAATCCTCTTTCTCATAAACTTGTCTAGAGGAATGGGAGAAGAAAAAATAAAGAAAAATAATAATAATAATAATAATAATACAAATACGAACGAAACTTAGACTCACCATTCATGTTCAAAGCAAACAACAAAAAATTGACGACCTACTTACGCATAAATCAATAATTGTCGCAAAAAACGCTTACAAGGCTTATATTTTACAGCAAATCGTTAGGCAACAACAGAAAAAATCAACCATGGGCGGAACAAGGATCAAGGGACCACAAACATCAGATAACAGTCCGCAAACCACCACGTCTGCCAGCAAACAAGTGCTACGGCCGACAAAACCACTACAACTGTCCACAACCAAGGTGAACAGTCCGCAAACCACCACGTCTGCCAGCAAACAACTGCTACAGCCAACAAAACCACTACAAGTGTCCACGACAGAAGTAGGCACAAAACCATACCAAGCACACACGTGAAGTCTAGCACATTTTCCAGAACAATACCCTACATGAAGTACATGGAACATAAGAAGATAGTGAATTGTAAACCCGTATGATGTTCTTCCGTTGGCATTGGGGACCAATGCTTTCACGGGAGGGGCAAATGTCAACTCATAAACGTACACAAGCCCACGCATTACCTAAATTTCCAAAGGAGGTCACCCCGGACTATTAAAAACAGACCGATTTTGCTTATGCCAGCAATAATTTCAATATAAATTCACGCACTGCGGCAATGCAAAGCAAGGTTGGTCTGGACTGCTTTATGCCTGATAAGGTACGAGCCTAAAGACCTGCCTTCTTAGCTGGGTACGACTAGGTATAGTCGAGACTGTGAAACTTTGTGGATGAAGGTCTCGTCTATAGCAGCCGTGTCACAGCGTCCCCAAGTTTAGACCTACGAGAACTATGCCCTTAGGGGGCCCGTTCTTTTAGTGCATCTTGGGTTTAATTAAACTTTTTTACATTTTCGAGCTGACAATCGAAAACATGGTCCACCACGGACGAACATCTGCGGTGTTAGGATTTTGGTAAATCTCCTTGAACTATAAGGTGTAATTAAGGTTTAGTAATAAAACCAATTAAATATTCGTGGTGGTATCCCTTCCCCCCATATCCTCTCTTTTCAGATAAACCCTTGGTGGACGCAGCCAAGCGAAGTAAAAGTGGTGGCACCGCTGACCACAACCAACCTAAGCGTGACAATATTTCCAAAACAGTTAAACTTAGGGATTAAAATTTAGCACCAAAATTTATGGAATTGAAAACCCTCCAATATAATGTATCACTTGACCCCCCCTTCCCATTTAAGATTTTCTAGGGGGTGGCTGTGGGGGTTGGGGGGTTGAAAGAGGGGTGGTGAATTTTACATAAAAACTCATCCCCTTTCAAATTATAGTTGACGTGTTTCAGGGATTTTTTTGAATTTTTTTTTACTTTGAGATAATAGGGGTGGGAAGTTTTCAAATTGACACCCTGTATATGATTACTATTGATATTCGTATTGTTGATGGTTGACAAAGGGAGATGTAACACAAGCAAAATAAATTTCCGTGCTACGACAAATGACGCGTAAAACCGTTGCATTTTTTTGGATTATAAAATATGGATGGATTATAAAAAATTAGGCGCCTTCGGCGCCCTGATACTCCGGCGCCTTAGGCGGGAGCCTAATTCGCCACCCCCTAATTGCGGCCCTTGTCATTTGTTTTAAGTTTGGGTTGGGCCTCTATCTTGGTAGATGTTATTCAATTTTTTTTTTTGCTTGTTGTTTTCTTAGAGACATGAACTCAATATTGGCAAATTTCTTTGATATTCCTTTCCAGAACTTGAACGTCGGCGAAGTTCCAAGATGAAGATCTCGCATAGTTCAAATATAAAATTTTATATGTGGTTTTCTCGAATTTGAAAAATTTACACAGTCACATCTAAAGTAATTCTACACAATGAATCAAGTTTTTTTCTGTGGATACTACTATTTGTAGAGTCCATATCAGTCTCCACACTATTGTTCACACTAATCCAAAATCGGGTTTCACTGAATCAGTTTATTTATAGCAGATACCCACTCAGGATTCATAAAATAAACGTCCAATCAACAAAGACACTAATTTTACGTGAACAATTATTATAACACAAATACAATAATAATTGTAAACTAAACCCGACTTCTATAATTATATCAGTTATAACTCCTATAACATCAATAGATACTTTTCACCTAGATATATTATCTAGCCACCGGCATTTAAACTGCCGTGATCCTTCTTTGAATGGCTAAGCTAATAACATAACAAATTCTCTAGAAAATTCTTGTAATTTAATTTGCTTTTGATCAGCTACTAGTTTGTTTCTGTCCCCTTCTATTGGCTTTTTTTTTACGTCTACTGTGACATTATTTTCAAGTTTAAATATTCTACCCTTATGTGAAAACGGATTTCGCGAATTTTCAAAAATTATTAACTTTTAAAATCAACTCGGGACTTTTGAGCACCCGTTATTTCTAGCTCCAAGAATCAAATCAGGAACGGAAAGTTTGCATCGGGCTTTACTATATTCGCTTTTTGGCTCTAGGTGATAAGAGATAGCTTGAAATTACTCCCTTTGGTTATTTAATGGCGCGAGAACAGAAAATTTTGAGCTCGTTTTAAACGATAAGCAATAATTTGCAACTTATAGGAACAGTGAACTAACAGAACTATTGCAGATTTTTATAAGTAGAGGTGTTCATATGGTTCATTTATATTTATATAGGGGCAGATATACCCCCTATATTAATTTATATAATTTTCTCAAAGCATTTTATATTTTTTCAGGGGCACTCACATTGAACTAACAGCGAAATTCTCTTGCTGACAGACGGCGGAATTCCATTAGAAGCTATGCACAGATACACTCCCATTTGTTCGCGTTTTACGCGCGTTAAATTCAGCATTTCTCCTGTAATATTTGATACTAAAAACAAAACAAAAGATTAATAACACGAGCAACTCCAGACATTTAGTTTACTTAGTCAGCAAACTTATGTAGTTAAATATTTAGGTACCTTCTGTTCCATTAGCCAAGCGTATCGGACCACCATTCTCGCGTTTCCACGTAATTGTGGGTTCTGGAGACCCCGATGATGCGCACCGAAGAGAAACGTCTGCGTTTTCATCTGCCACCAAATCAGTACTGGTAATATAATCCAAAATATCTGGAGGCACTGAAACGGGCAGATCTAAATTTCATTATTATAGTTATCAAAGATTGGTGTTTTATTTTCAATTAAAACCGAACAATGCCAACGGCTCGACGAACGAAATAAATCCCATTCTAAATTGGCAATTTTCGCTTACCCACTACATCCAAATATCCGACTTGGCTCTTCATTGGATCGGTATTAATCTGACACATGTACCAGCCCTTGTCCAATTCCTGTACGTCTCTGATATGTAAATACCACGTTTTCTGTTCGACGTGCGTCACAGCGATCCGATGGTTCTTCGTAATCACGTGACTATGTATTGTCAGGATTGTTTGTGTGTCGACCCTTAGCCAAGCAATCTAAGGGCGAAAAGGAAATATAAATGAGTTTATTTGGAATATTTGGATAGTTCAAAGCGTTGAATACGAACTAACAAGTGTACGCTCAACATTATTATTGCATTGTGTCGACATTCGAGCATTTCCAAGAGTGAACGGTTGTAGACTTCATAATTTAAAGTTATTTAAAAAAGGTATAATGGAGAAATTATTTCAAGTTACTTCCGCCTGCAATATTATAGAAGTTCCCTATGATTACAAGTGAAATTACAATCAAGTTATCGAAACGTCACCTGACTTAGGGCGAGTATTATAAAATTATTTTGACAAATCACTAAAAGTTAACTTCTGGAATGATGTCACATCTCACGGCCAGTTTCACAATCTGTGGTACCTAACCAGTGCTGGTTGGTGAACTAGGAGTTGGGACTTAACTATGGCTTTGCAAAAGAACATGTTTCACTTGAAATAAACAATCGTTAGTTAAGTGTCTTCTAGTTGAATTTTATTTTCCAATGGTTTGTACTTGATTTTTTGGAAAAAGTGGAAAGGCCACCTTGAAAAATGAAAAGATGATCTCAGTGGCTCTAATACTTCACTATACCAGATTTTTTGGGATTTGTCAATCAATTTTGTCAGTATTAGCAGTGAAATTCTTGATCAAGTTCCTCATTATAAGTTGGTATAGCTTTTTCTGTTTCAATTTGAATCATGGCGTATGAGGATCTGCAAATTTTTCCAAGGAAGAAGAATAATTATCAATTATTTCATTTGTAGAAAAATTTTAAAAACATTATCGAATGTAAACAGAGAAGCGCGACAACATGGAAAATTTTGCTTGGCAAATGAACACGGAAAAAAATGCAATTCTATATACAAGAGTAGTAATATACTTATAATTTTATATTTGATCCAGTAATAATTTACTTAGTAAAACAATACTTTATTATATATTGAAATATTTGCTTAATATTCACTGGCGTAACTAGCCATCTGACTTGGGGGGGGGGCTAGGTTCAGTGATGGTATATTAGGGAATTTCTCCCTAGATTTAGGGAAATTTTCAGCAATTAGGGAAAAAGGGAAATTTATGATAGATTTAGGGATTTTTTAATTTATATTCCCATAATATTTTAGCGCAAAATGGAAAATAATTTAGCATTTTTCATACATATTCTGCTTTTTATTTATAAAATATAACAATATCATAATGAAAATACACCGTTTATATGCAGCTTAGTACAATGTGTTAAGAGGGAGAAAAGAAACACAATCTCTACTGCAGGTTGCTTGCATAGATCGAATATCTCTCTCTAACGCGTACAAATAGAGAAAAATACAAAACAAATATTTTGTACAGAACACAATAGCTGTTTACGGGAACTATGATCGGGTTATCCCGATCGCCAGCAGACGTATTTTGTCTTTTTTCATTCATATTCATTGAGGAAAGATAGAACACATTCAGCTGCTGATCGGGTTAACCCGATTATAGTTTCCGTAAACGGCTAATGTCGTCCAATTAGTTGTTTTCAGATTTCACGTTCAGCTACTTGTACTTGTTGACAGTTTTAAATAGTTCCAGGTTCGAATGCGGGATTCCCCCGTACTAGAAATCGAATATATTCTGAAACTAGGGATTTTTACACCAATCTAGGGAATTCTTGGCGCTTTTATTATAGGGAATTTCAACAAGGGTGGGCCTGGCAGAGGCGCCGATTTTTGAAAGTCCTCATAGACGCAGGATAATATTTTTATAAATTTGTTTATAGGAGGAGGGGGAAGCTCGCCGTAGGCGCCGACCGAGTCGAATTTTTTTTTTCCGAATGCCACGCCTAAAAACGTCTATTTTATAGTGTATATATATTTTTCTACGAGCGTGCGAAAAGTGCTTTTTCATGCACGCATTTTAAGCCATGAAAATATCACATCATTATCAAAATAATTATGCCTGGTACTTTTATGTCCTAAAATGCCTTATGTCCCGATTATTATCAAAGAATAGAGATGGAAAATAGCAACATTAGCAATATAAAGTAATGCAGCATAGAATTGACCACAAATAACGAGAGAACAGAATACTAATACCTCCCTAATCTAAGACTAATACGACTTGTATAATTCTTATACAAAGTTGTGTAAATTTAAATTACATTCATGATACTGATACTACCACACGGAACGGAATGACCATTAAATACGTTTGTACTTTGGCATTCTCTACGAGAGCTCCGAGCACCCATGAGAGGTTGTTCATGGGAGCACCTGCCCCAATGCCCCCTTTAGTTGGGGCCAGTGGCCTAGCTAACCCAGCTTATCAGCCACTGTAAAGTATACAGGGTGGTCCTCCGGGAATGACATCGATTGCTTATGGGAAAACTGTGAAAGGTAAACATTTGAAAATTTGGCAACATAGCAATGTCGATGGGGGACATCCAGGTAAAATATTTTCAAGATGGCGGCATTTCCGGTCATACCGGAAGTTGATACCAACTCGGTTATTTTAAATAGAACACCCCGTATATTAATGTATTTTTGGATTCTAAGGAAAATTCTAAATACATTTCATGTACGATGTCCTATACCTAAGTCTAACCGTTTTTGACATATTTAAGTTTTTATGTAAAAAATTACGTTTGCAGACCCTAAAATAATTATCAATTTTTCCTATAAGGAAGCCTTTATTCTTTAATTGAACCTTGATTCCTTGTTGAAAAGGACCTATTTTATTAGATTTTCATTATGTTTTGATAACTTTTAATACAGGGTGCTTAAAAAATAAGATTAAAAATAAAGTTGAGAAAACTTCCAAAAATCAGTTTTTTCAAATGGAAACCCCAAAATTTTATAATTTTATCTTGTTAAGCATTAAAAATAAAGGTAAGTTTGTGTAAGGTTATCTATTCCGAAAATGTTTAGTTTTCGAAATATTGCCAATTTAATATTTTTATATGGCGATTTTGCTCTAAAAATAATAACTGAACGCACCCTTGCGCATGACAGAATGTCAAGCAGAACGTGCATGTCCTTGTCACAAAAATTGAAATAATTTTCGATAATAATCATGCCGGGAAGATTAAAATTATACAAATGAAGATTATTTAAATTTATTTATTATTTATGGAGAATGTAATAAAGTTATTTCAAGAACATGTGATACATTTGCGAACCGATATCCGTAGAAACAGAAACCAAGTGAAAAAACTGTTAAAAGAATTTTAGAAAACTTCAAGAACTTTGGATCCTTCATAGAAATAAACCAGTTGTTAACAATGAAAATATTGAAATCGCAATTTTGGGATATTTTGCCGTAAATCCAACAATATCTACAAGGCAAGTAGCATTAGAATCAGGATTATCTAAAACATCAGTTCTAAGAATTTTATGGAAACATAAGTTTCATCCATACGTATTATCTACATTTCGCAACATTTAAAAGAGACTGATTTTCCAAGAAGAGTGGAGTTCTGTGATTTCATGTTAATTCGGTCACAAGAAAATGCGTTTTTTTTGGATAATATTATTTGGTCGGACGAAGCTAAATTCACAAAAAACGGGATGTTCAATCGACACAATTCGCATTATTGGAGCGGCTCAAACCTACATCTATTTAGAGAATTAAATTTTCAAGAATTGTGGCAGTTTAACGTTTATTGTGCCATAAGAAATGACGGGGTCGTGGCACTAGAATTCTATCAAGAAAATCTAAATGGGGAGCTATAGTATTACCAAAGTCACTTGGAACAAGGTAAAAGTACATCATAACTGGTGGCAGACTAGTGGCAGTACATTTCTTATGAGAATGTTCAGTGACCAGTCAGCCATCAGTTGTTACCTTGTTCCAAGTGACTTTGGAAAAACTATACCTATTTTTGAAGCCTTCTAGATATAAAATCCATTCTTTCACTTATAGGTGAGCGCTATCTCAACATCATTAGAAATTTTGAAGTCAACTATTTAGACAACTTGCCACTAGCCGACCGTAGAAATCTATTTTATCAACATGATTGGGCGCCTCCACATAATGGTCATTTAGTCAACAACCATTTGCAAAACTTGTTTTATGACCAATGGATAGCCAACGATGGGCCACATCTTTGGCCACCTCGCTCCCCCGACTTAACAGTACTCGACTTTTTCATTTGGGGAACAGTCAAAAATAGAGTTTATAACACCGCATTAACCACCATGGAAGACTGCAAGCGGCGAGTCAGAACAGCATTTGAAGGCCTTAATCCTCAGTCAATAAGAAGAGCCACCCATGAAGAATTCCTTCGTAGGTGCGAAAAATGTCTCGAAGTTCAAGGCCATCAATTTGAACATTTATTAAAATAATTTTTGTAACTTTTTTCATTGTTAACAACTGGTTTATTTCTATGTACTTTAGCTTCGACGGATCCAAAGTTCTTGAAGTTTTCTAAAATTCTTTTAACAGTTTTTTCACTTGGTTTCTGTTTCTGCGAATATCGGTTCGCAAATGAATATATATTCGCAAACTTCCTTGAAAAATTTTGTAGCAGTTTCAAAGTTAGTCCAATTATTGTTTGGACAGATACGAGTAAAATATCAAAAAAGCACATGTTTATCTCGGGGTTGAAGGGGGGAAATTCAACCCCAAAGTTGACGGAAAAAAACAAACTTCCTTGAAAAATTTTGTAGCAGTTTCAAAGTTAGTCGAATTATTGCTTGGACCGATACGAGTAAAATATCAAAAAAGCACATGTTTATCTCGGGGTTGAAAGGGTGGAAATTCAACCCCAAAGTTGACGAAAAAAATCAAACTTCCTTGAAAAATTTTGTAGCAGTTTCAAAGTTAGTCGAATTATTGCTTGGACCGATACGAGTAAAATATCAAAAAAGCACATGTTTATCTCGGGGTTGAAAGGGTGGAAATTCAACCCCAAAGTTGACGAAAAAAATCAAACTTCCTTGAAAAATGTTGTAGCAGTTTCAAAGTTGGTCGAATTATTTCTTGGACAGATACGAGTAAAATATCAAAAAAGCACATGTTTATCTCGGGGTTGAAGGGG